CATCATCAGGCCAGGACTCTGTGGTCTACACTCATCTCCAGGCCAGCAGTCACTCTTTCAGGGATGAAGATGTGCACATCCTGGACAGAGAGGAACGATGGTTTGAGAGAGGAGTAAAGGAGGCCATCTTTGTGAAAAGAAATCGTCCATCGTTAAACAGGGGTGGAGGCCTCCGGGTTCAACTGTCCCCCTCTTACAATGCTGTGATTGCTAGTATCACTCAGCCCTCTGTGAACAGTAAACAGCCATCAGTGTGCTAATGATCCATTGTTATGCTGATGGTCCTTCTTGAGCATGTGATCAGCTGGTTTTGGTTGTCAGCAGCAAAACTGGTTGATCCACTCTGAGAAGGTGCTATTTAAGAGACTGAGCTGAATACAGCTCCTCAGACTGAGGAAGTCTCTTGGATGAGAGACGAAATGTTTCTACATTTTTTTGTTGTTTTGCTTTGTTTTGTTTTTTTGAATGTCCAGAGGACCAGATTTAACCTTTTTAGACTTTTACTAGTTGTTATATATCGTCCACCAGGCGCTTACTCTCAGTTTTTGTCTGAATTCTCAGAATTCTTAACTGACTTACAATTAAATACTGATAAAGTCATCATAATGGGTAATTTCAATATTCATTTAGATGTTAAGTGATAGCTTAAGCATAACCTTTAATAATTTATTACTCATTTGGTTTTACCCAAAATGTCCGCACATCTACTCATTCTTATCATCACACTCTTGATTTAGTTCTGACCTATGGCATAGAGATTAAGGACTTGGTAATAGTTCCTCAAAATCCTATTCTGTCCGACCAGTTTTTAATAACCTTTGAGTTTACATTAAATGACTACACAGTCACTGAGAGTAAATTTCATCTCAGCAGGTGCTTATCAGAAAATGCTGTAACCAAATTTAAACAATCTCTTCCATCAATGTTTTCCTCTGTCTTGCAGAGTAATGCATTCGAGAGCAGAAACTTAGATCATCTAGTTGATCATCTTACAACTTCAATGCAAACTTCACTTGATAAAATTGCTCCACTGAAAAAGAAAGTAATCAATCAGAGAAAACTGGCTCCTTGGTTCACTTCTGAGTTACGTACTTTAAAGCAGGCACCTAGAAACCAGGAGAGAAAATGGCGCTCTACTAATGTTGAAGAATTTCATTTAACTTGGAAAGATAGTCTGCTAACATATAAAAAAGCTCTCCATAAAGCTAGAACTTTATATTACTCATTTTTAATAGAGGAGAATAAAAATAACTCTAGGTTTATGTTTACTAAACATTATGTACTATTGCTAGACTAATTAAAATTTCCATTTCTGTTGAATCATTTATCCCTACAACTATGAGTAGTGATGACTTCATGAGATTCTTTATAAAATTATTTCAATTAGAGAGAAAATTCAAACTACCCTTCCTTCTACTATCTCTAGTCCCGTCAAATGAGGCAACTTAAAAAAATTTCACTAGAGCCTGACTTATACCATACCATTTTATTTATAGAGCACTTAAAACAGCGACAAGGCCAACCAAAGTGCTATACAGAAAGAACAACAGACAACACACAAAGCAATATACATAATGAAGTAAATCAGAATATAGACATAACAACAATGCAGATAATAAGTATGACGACAAACCATTGTGGAACGTAGAGGTTCAAAACACAGATCCTCTGGTGTTGAAAGCCACTGAATAGTAGTGGTTTTTTAAATGGCATTTGAAAACCGAGAGGGAGGGGGCCAGTCTGACAAGCAGAGGTAAC